CTCATCACAGATTCCCTATAAAGTATTGCAATTCTCTTTATATTTCATTAATTATTACTTAGAAAGCAGTTATTGTGTTATTTCACTTTCAACAATGATCGTGTTCATTTATTATTAGACTGTGACACTTGGACGCAACCACGATGTATATGTCCATGACAATGGTTTATTATCGGTAAACGTACCATACTTGGCACTACCAGGAATCACAATAACATATGATGGCACCAATGTGGTAAGTGGATACTTTTTAGGTTGCCGCTAAGGCGATATATTTTGCAATATAATTTGTTGGGCATTTGTTGACAAATGTGACACGAGCTAATTACGAACACTTTAGTTTGCTGCCACACATTTCAGTAGGTCTTGAAATATGTAATGAAAAATATGTGTCCGTTTTACGCAATTGCTATATAATGAATAATTGGAAATCTGTTTTGATAGGTTATTACTACGATACTGGGAGTGACTGTTCGATTCGATGGTATGTATCGATGGGAAATCGACTTGAGTACATCGTGGGCGGATGATACATGTGGGCTGTGTGGGAACTTCAATGGAGACCTTTCCGATGATACAACAACTAAGTGGGACGGTACTCCGGTACGTTATATTGAAATAACATTTCCAAGGATCGACATCGATACTCAATATAAAGTCTGTTCAAACAGTAGATTGCATTTTTCCTGATTATATGATTCTATATTATATGTAGATGTGTCGTTACCGTGGTGATGACATTTCCCTAAATATCTCCTATTTTGAGTAGTTACTCATGACAACGATTGCCAAGTATTGCCTAATATATATCATTATATATTCAAAGGCGTTGAACATAGATGATTTCGGAGACAGTTACGCTATCAGTACCGATTGCCAACTGACAGATGGAGGTGATCCCACATTGGACTGTCAAGACCTAACACTTGCAGAAGGTCTTTGTGGCATTATATGGTCCGGTAAGATGCGTCTATTAAAACAACTTGCAAATTCAACAAATATAATTTGATATAATCAGTCTTATTAGCCTATTAACTTTGTTTCGATGTACATGTTTCCATCTAGTAACGTACCCTTTTCGCACTACTTACCAGTCGCATTAACTAATTTTTAATATCTTTTCAGCATTATTTGAACAATGTCATGACGTCATAGACCCAAAAATATATTTCGAAGCCTGTGTTTTTGACGTATGCGGAAGTCAACCTGATACTTCTATCGTGTGCCAAGATGTGGCAGCATATGCTATGTCTTGCTCAGGCGTCGGAATCAGCATCAACTGGAGAACTGACGCATTCTGCCGTAAGTGTGTTTTAATCACTGACATATGTTCGGGACTATGACGGATAATATGATGGACACACCCTCACCCCTTCTTGTGTGGTGGCCATCAACATTCTGTGTACCGTTGTTTCTCAGAATATAACTAACTGTTTTGTTTTTCCTTTATCAGCTTTGGAGTGCCCTGCGGGTATGACGTATAGCACCTGTGGTTGTGACAAGACATGCGCAGATCCATTCACTGAGTGCGACGCGCCACATTGTGTCGAAGGGTGTTTCTGTATGGATGGATTGCTAAGAAGTGGTCATGAGTGTGTTCCATTAGAAAGATGTGGCTGCTGGTACAAAAGTCAATATTTTAAGGTAATATTCAAACATTATGACATGATATTTCGTATGTTCCATAAAAAAATGTATTCATGTATTCATGAAACTGAAAAACAAACTGTTTCTTGCAGCCAGGAGAAGTGTATGTAGATGGGAATTGTGATGAATACTGTGTGTGCCAGACTAATCATTTGATGCTCTGTGAAACATTGAATTGTGATGCCAATGCACACTGTGGAGTGGTAGAAGGACAACATCACTGCATCTGTAATGACGGCTTTAAAGGAGACGGAACCACGTGCATTCATAGAAGTTAGTCTAATTTATAAGTAGATTAAATGTATATCTAAATGCGCTAGCTGATTGTTTGACAGCATTTCTTCCTTCTTCTTTTTAACGACTTTGGTAAATATGTTGAAATTATTTTTTTTGTTAAATTTCGTAAAGCAGCATCTGCATAAAACAAGTTAAAATTGATCTGTGAATCAGACATTCTCTGAAAGTCACTAAGCATGCATTATCTGAAAGCTTTAGATATAGGCGAACACAGTAGTGTATATGCTGTATCAATGTTTCTATCTAAACTGTCCAACAAATAGTCGGTAGAATATCTGTAATTATTTGGTGGTAGCTGAAAGAAATGCAGATAAAGAAACGTACGAGACGCAGTTGTCCAGTATACTGCATTAAATACGCTCGTGCATTTATTATATCAATCGTGTGACTGACAATTTTATAAAAGCGATAGTCAAAATGACGAAATTAGCCGGTACATTCACTTTCACCGTCTGTAACTAAGTTTTCAGACTGTGTATTATGCTTGGCAACTTTTAGAGAATGTCTGATCACAGACAAATGTTTAACTTGTTTATTTCCTGTTGCTACGATAAATCGTTATAAGATATGTTATGTATACATACTTCTCTCTTCAATTATTGGGAACGTGGAATGGATGATCAAATACAGTAATCCATTACAAATAAAATCAAGTTCGAAAGTTCAGATTGATTAATAAACAATGTTGCTGCATATTGGCTGGTCTCTGAAGATAAAATCGCACATCCAGTGAATGCAAAGTTTACGAATGTTGAAGCACATTTTAAATTTTAAAAAATATATATATTTTTTTTCTAGGTCACGCCAGATGTAGTGGTGACGGTGATGTTCATTACACATCATTTGACGGAAAGTACTATCACTTCCACGGAACATGCCAATATATTCTAGTGACCGACACGTGTTTTGGACATAATGGCACATTCCTAGTTACGGTAGATAACATCCCATGGAAGCACGACACGTCTGTGACAAAATCTGTAACAATATACTATATGGGTTTTGTAAGTAGCTTATATCGTCTTGTTGTAGAAAGTAACAATCTGACAAATATTATTATTGTGTTCACATTTTCAGCATATGATTGTATCTAATAATGTAAAAACACGTCAGTTATTCTAACTATATTAATTTTTATCAGGAAATCACAATATTGCCGATGAACGTTGTCCATGTTAACGGTGTCACAGTGACTCTACCGTACTCACCAATTCCAGGAATCACAATTTATTTTTCTGGCATATTCGTGGTAAGTTGATGATTAAATAGTTGGTGTTTATACGCTGGACACATCATTGAAAACTGTCTAAGCTGCACGTGTATCTATTTACACTATGCGTTTTGTTTTATGACCACAGGTCGTTCGGTTGGACAATGGAATAACAATACGATTTAATGGAGTCTACCTCGTGGAGGTCGATGCGGATAGCATTTGGATGAGTTCCACGTGTGGATTATGTGGCAACTATGATCTAGATATGACGGATGACTTCACTAAACCTGATGGCGTGCTGGTAAGATATTATATACATCAATATAATTATAAACTCATAATGTTGGATTCATTGATAAATACCACAGATTTACGGATTTACAGATAATACAGATTTACAAATACTAAGCCGTTTCACCTGTTCAGGTAACTGGTACTAATGAGTTTGGCAACTCGTGGGTGATTGGCAATATGACAGAATGTGAACCTGTGACGGATACCGTAGATCCGTGTGAAGAGCATCCTAATATTTATCATGT